ATAATAATAATAATAAAGTTTATTTACCAAAGATACATAGGTACAAACATATGCTTAAATATTATAATAATTTTATCTTACAGTAAAATAAACAGTAATCACAGAAGCAATGCATCAACTGTATTGCTTGTACGTGATGTGCACCACAATCCAGAAATAACATTATATACAGGGGGTACCATCTAAAAAAATAAATTTGATACCAGCGAAGCTATTTTTGAGACACCCTGTATAATAAAAACTAGATAGAAAAATTTCAAACAAAAAAACAAATTGACGTGTCTAAGCAATTTTTCAAAAATTCTACTGTTTTTAAAATAATGAATTTATGCGGGACCTCATGAACTCACTGTAGAATAGGTATATAATAAATAATTAGGAACATAATATGCATTACAAAAAATAATTCTTTTCCGCACCACTTTTGAAGTAGAATGCACGGCGGGTTATTTTCCTGACACGGTATCCCCAGTAGGCCCTATCCATGCCTGAACACGTCAACAGAGTTGCTAAACATCGAAGACTTTAGTGACCTTCAGCCTAGAGGGGTTTTGCCAGCAGACATAAAGCCAACACAGAGGAAGCGTCTGACAAAGATAGTTTGTTGATCAAGGTGCTAGTGGAGCCCGATGCCGACGAAGACACGGAGGAAGGCATGTGCAAAATAGTACATTAAAATACAAGTTTCATAAGACGTGATTTTATCGCACGAGCCCTATATTAGAAAACGAGCCGGAGGCGAGTTTTCTAAAGGGCGAGTGCGATAAAATGTCTTATGAAACGAATATTTTATACTATTTTTTCTATTTTGGTATTGTTTAATTGAAAAAAACAAATTTTTCTTGGAAATTTTATTCTCATATTTCCTGATTTCATATATTTAGGTTGGCAACACTACATGCCAAATATAGAAATCTTCTATTTTTTTTATCGCGAATGACAGTTCGATGGCCATCAGTCAGCCAGTGTTACCAACCTCCGATAAGTAAAAAAGGAGTGTCACAAAGAGCTTCTTTTCGAAACTACTTTTAGTGTCGAAAAGACTTCGATATGAAACCAAAATAGAAAAAAATATTTAAAAAACTTTTCCTAAAATCGAAAACATGGATTAGGCCTACTGGGGATACCATGTCAAAAAAAAACCCTACTTCAAAAGTGGTGCGGAAAAGAATGCATTTTATATCCTACTGAACTATTATAACCATATAATACCTTGGTCACGATAATCATAAACAGGGTCTTTTAACTCCCGCGCGGGAGTTAGGGATTTCTATAACTCCCGCTTTTACCTTGAATAGGTAAAACTTCGACAAAAAATAGAAATTTTGGTTTATGGTTTCATTGTTTCATAAACTCTCATAATTCCTTTGATACATAATACGTCGATTATACCACGAGTCAATAATGATAGCTATTATTCCCGAGGAATATTTACGAACTGAGCCGCGTTAGCGGCGAGGGAGTAACATTCCGAGGGAATAATAGCCATTATTGCGAGTAGTATACTCTACTTTATTTACGACAAATTAATTTATTTGAGATTTTTAATAGCAAATTTCATCCACAAGCACTACACGTTTGACACCGACACTATTGAGGAATAATGACCAATAATCCCGCTACTCGTCATTATTCCCTGGGGGTGACATTAGTCGGAAATAAATAACTATTTTGTTATGCATGCAGTGGCGTAGCAAGGTTGGACGGTGCAAATAAATTGCAGATGCCCCCGAGTAAATAATTCTTTGTGAGGTTTAATTTGCTAAAGGAGCGTGGTAACTGTCAACTGTCATAGGCATAATAAGAATGCCATATACAATTGAGATAAGTCACTTTCTAATATTCCAAATTTTTCAAGTATTTATTCAAAATATTGCCTGACGCTCACGGAGTCGTTTAGATGGTCCTTGGCTAAAGTGATAAAGGTGTGAACATATTGGGGTATTAGAGAATGACCGACTAATAGTATTTGATACACAATTTTTTAAATTTTTCAACGATTGTCGATTCAGAAGAAGTAAGAATATTATTTTGTTGTAATAAAATTCAAAGTAATCTTTAACATATTCCATACCAACCTGTGTAATAGTTGACCAACTACTTCGTCAATAACACGATAATGATTAGTCACTTTAAATTTGGTTCTAGAACTCTCAAATCTGTGAACGTTCGCGAATTCATCGAGATGCTTTTTATGTCGGACTTGCTTTTTTTCTGAAAACAATGGATTAATATTCAATTTTCTTGCTAATTTTACTGCTTCACCTTTATCTAATTTCTTCGTATGAATGAGTTAGCTTTGATACATTATTTCGAACATCTTTTAAAACTTCTGCCCCTGCGAGTTATTGCTAGTAGGTATATTTTTCGTACAAATTTTTAGACGTGGCTTCGGGGCCCCTTTACCTCCGGCGCCCCGGGACGCCGCACCGAATTGCCCTACGATAGCTACGCCACTGTATGCATGTTATGTTATCAATTATTTAGTATATATTTTATTATAAATAAACGTTCTTAACAATTTTAGTATTGAAAGTTCTACTTTTCAGATTAACAGATTAGGAAAAATGCATTTGTAGTTATAGCTCCGCAGTATAATAAAGTATTACCTATATTGAATGCGCGCTCCCACTTTATCACGCTATATCTTGAAAATGGTTGGTCGTACGAAAAAGATGTACATGAGCAATTTTGTAAAGAATACTATTTTACGTAAGTTTTGTTTTGAGTTGTTCGACGTCAGATACACTGGAAGCGAGATTTTTTTGTGCTTCATTAGAACATCAAAGCGAAGGTCTCTGCCAAAAATTCAGCTTGTTCGGCCTCATTCCGCAGAGGAAGTCTAATTTCCCAGGAGTATAAGCGATATACCTATGGTGTGATATACGCCGAAAATGTTGAAAAACTTGAAAAATTATAGATATTCTGATTCTCAAGCACAAAACTGTGCTATACTCATAAAGCGGGGCTTTTTCTTATTGTATACCCAAAACTTAAAAAAGTAGAGAGACTTATTCCTAAGATTAAATTGTGGCACTATAGTAGCTTGTGGTTAATATATGGGCACCGATTCAAAGCTACGAAACAAAATATCATTTTCATTCTCCCCCCTACGAAAATCCACTTTTTTATCTTGAATAGGCAAGCGAAAGCGAAAGTAAAACATGCTAAGTCATCGGTTGCTAGGTATGAAAAACTTTCGTGCCCTGGACGACGAAAAAATAAAAACGTCAAATAATTAGTAATATCCAATATCAAATAATTATTAAGATTGGAAATTAAATGTGAAATTGCAATTGTTCTATGTTCCTGAAAGATTTAACAGCAAATGCTGATTGAAATCCTGTTCCAAAGCAACGTCATCTTCCGTTATTGTGGACACATCTTCCGTTGTACACCATTTGATAAAATTTTCATAGGCTTCATCAACTTTATATTGAAAAATAATACTTATTTGAAAACTGTCAATATATTTTTTGTTGACACGAATGTTACCAAAGTAACGTTAACTTTAACAACTGTCGTCAAAACTGTGGTCATTCCACTTTTTTTTCAGTGGCGGCTGGAAAAAACTGAATATTAGTTGTACATATTTTTTGGTTATATTTTTATTTTTTTTGGTGAAGTGGCACTTCAGCTAATGCACCTGAATAGCCGCCACTGCAATATTGTTATGGCAATAAACCGCGTTAGGCTCAGAAAATTTTCAGCATCTGTAAATTGTGTGTTTTATAACTTGAATGGTTTTAAATAAAATCGGGGGAAGAATGAAAAGTTTAATACATTACACGCTGCAAAAGTCCTTTTAGGTGCTCGGAGATATTCAAATAGCCTCGGCTGCGCTCCGCTTCGCCTCGGCTATTTGAATACACCTCGCACGTAAAAGTATACTTTCGCAGCTTGGAATGTACATAACTATTTCCAAAAGAAAATTTATGAAAACATTTTCTTGGTCATTGAGGAAACCAACGTTGTATGTTAAACAAGTTAAATTAAATTTTCGGCGTTAATAAAACAAACCCACTCATAAAAGGAAATAACAAATTTTGTAGGAAACATAAACCTTTTAATGTTTGAGTTTTGAGAAGATTAATTGACAAAATTAATTCAAAATTTAAATTTAATTAGCTATAAAATTTTTGGAAAAATTACTCTGAGAAATATGACGCTAATATTGATGCCAGTTGCGCAGCCAGGGGGCCAGGATCACCCCCCAAAGCTTCGAAGAAAAATAGAAAAATAATAGAGTAGACAAAAGCTGTAAACTGCGCATATTTTAAAAAGCTTAGGGGGTGTAAACCAAAAATACGTTTTTGGTTTATAATATGTAAAAAAGAATCCAAGAACAACATCGGAAACCTCGCCTCTCTGCCGGATTTGTAAAAGATATCAGTCTTTAGAGTTTGCAACAATACGTAGACGTGACGTCACAACCGCTTGGAGCCCAACAGATTCTGCTTTTGTTCAAAACCAAAAGCCATGTTTCACCTATTTGAGTCAACTCGGTATTTAAGTGAGAGTCGCAGGATTTTATTAGAGTCTTAGTCTACGGTATCCGAGCGGTTCTGACGTCACGTTTCCACGGTTGTTTTGCAAGTATCTCGAAAACCGTTAGGCATAAAAAGGTGCAGCTTTAAATATTATTCTTAGTATTTGTTATAGAGAAATTTTGATTTTTGTGGGGCCCCTCTCAGGCAAAATGTCTCGCTGCGCCACTGAATGATGCCTATTATTGCATAATGATAGTTAGATAGCCCAGTGGCTTAAAGAGCACTTTAAACCATTAGGTATATACCTACCTACACAATTTTGCCCTTTCGATTGAATTTTTCTATAAATAGGTATAACATAACTTTGTTTCACATTGCCAATTTCAATAACGATGCCTAATTATGAACTAGAAACGGATTCTTTTTTCTAACTTTCATTGAATAACTGGAGCTGATAAAATGTGATTCGAATACGGAAGTTATTGGAGGAATTTTTTTTGTTTGTTGCAGCTCACAAACTATGATTGGGAAAGCAGTAGTACGATTTTCCTTGACTTTAATTGTGACCGCCATGGGAGTATCCGCTGCCATTAAATGTCACGTTTGGAGGGAAATACTGCCATGTGAATGTCAGGTATCTGCACCACAGACGAGAAGCACTAGTGTAACTTGTGAGAATATGTTGTCTTTTACACAAGTGAGTTATGGTACTATAAACAACTTCTTTTTTCACATCAGCACACTAGTCTTAGTACTCAAAATATCATTTTTCTTCAAATCTAGTCTTTTTACATCCTATAAGTCCTGTTATAATTACAGCTTCTATACATAATTTGTTGTAGGTTGTAGACATCTTAAGGGGCCGGTTTCATTCCAATGAAAAAATCAATTTACGGCTGGAAAGATCGAATCTACAGGATCTGCAGTATCGAGAGTTTCGAGAAATCAATGTGACTATCGAGAGTATTAAGCTCAATCATGATTATTTAGGGTAAGTTTTTCTTCAAAAATTAAATAAATGTGGTATTTTCGTCCGATGCGAAACAATAATAGTTTATGTAAAATTTCCAATAAGCAAACACTAATTATTATCGTCGTTTATCGCAAAACAAACATAATATTTTCCAAAAAGTCCCAAAATCACACACACGCGGCTAATGAAATGAGCGTAATAAAATAAACGATAAAGATATATAAACAACGATTAAATGGTGCCAATGAAAGTACTTAGATTTATCTTCGGTTTTTGTTTTCGTCATGATTGAGACGGTGACATTTTGAAATGGGTGTAAATTAAATAATGCATTCAAATTTGTAGCATTTTATTAAGATAAAATCAAAGGGCAAAAACTTGAGAATAGAGAACAGCAGTAACTACAAACTGTCGATTTGACTCATTGATAAAACAACGAGATCAACTACATATAGATGGAGCAGACCATGAGTGATGCAGAATTGATAAGGGAAATTCTGAAATAATCAGCAAATTGAGTACCTATAGTATTTCCAAACTCAATTGGAACAAGGTACCAACTAGTGGCTGACTGGTCACTGAAAATTTCCATATAAGAAATGCACTGCCACTAGTCAGCCACCAGTTATGATCTATGTTCACCTTGTTCCAATTGACTTTGGAAAAACTATAACTTTTGTAAATAATACTTCAGGGCAAAGTTTGGGGGCAGAAAAATCTTTGGACTTGATCAACCACTGCAGCTATTAACAAACTATAGATCGTCATGATCCTTGAAGAGTTATTTTGTAATGATGATGATACAAGTGCTCATGGTTTCAGCTACAAGATACCTACCTACATCTCTTTAGTTTATAATCAACTAATTAACAAACTAGCCTGTCTAGCAGTAAATATCTACTGAATTAGTTATTAATTGGAAGAATATAGGACGATTAAAATGGAAGTTTATTCGTAATGAAGTAGAAAATCATCGACAAAAAATAAGTGAGAGATCTCAAAAACTATAATTAACCACATTCTTGCGATTGCCGGTAATTTTTCTTGTAACTGTAAACGATCTCATCCGCAAGACAAGACAAGAACCATGTCTCCTTGGGTGCCGTCCTTCGTCTGGGCACGCGACACCTCGTCGTTTATCTTGAGCTGGCCATGACAGCCGCTTATTAACTAATGACAGGCCTCGATAATGAGCCTAGCTTTTATAGATTTAATGTCTTTTATTTTATTAATGATGATGATGGCCAGTGAATAACACCTTTTGAATTTGTATGACATGGTAGTCAAGTTATTTATGTGATTTAAGGGATATTATTAAGGTATTTTCACACGAATTGCTTCAGTTAGAGCACGACCGCGATGAATGCTTTACATGCATCTGAGAATGCAAAAACATTCCATTGCGTCAATTTTTAACAATAATTATGTTGTGTGTACAACACTATTTCATTAATATTGCAGTTATTTAATATAAATTCTGCATTAGACTTTTAACTGATATCTACTTAATATAATTTTTCAGCTACCTATTATCATTATACATTTTTTCTTGCTCATTCTAATCAGCTTTAGCTATCGACAAAGCCACATCCTTGGATTTCTCAACTCAAAACTTATCACTAAGTATATCTTCCAACAACTGCTGCAAATTTAATGTTTGTTTTTTTTATGTTTATTGGGCCAACCCAACTAAATATCTCAAAACATGTTTTGCTGCTTCCTAATTCAAGTATTTTACACACTTAGATAATTAAGTGCAAATATATCTCTGACATAGATCTAATACAAAATATTTTTATTGGAATATCCATTATTCATCAACTGGATAATATTTCCCGCATTATCTAGTCTATTACCAATGACTGTATTACTAATGTGTCAGCTTCAGCTGATTTGAAATTTATTCTTTTGAGTCCGGTATCTAACTTTACCACACCATAAAGAGCATTTTTTTGGTGATTTGTATATTGAATAAAACTCTATATTTTCTTCATTATTGTACTTTCTTCAAAAATTTTATCTTGTCTAAGTATTAACTTAGTATGCAAACCTACAAACAGAAGCTCTTGATATTATTTTTCTTGTGGAGCTCAGATTGGCTATTGAAGCAAAAGTTTTTTCCTAATCAAAACCAGAGTAACACTACATAATTATGTGTTAATTTGAGGTGTAGTCCCCTAACTAACCATTTTTGAGAGTGAATATGATATGATTTTCATTAAAAAAAATCTTGATCAAAAAGTCCCAAGAATTTACATCAGGCGTATTGGCAAGCTGCATTGATAACTAGCTCTCGCTTTTTTGTATCAAGTGGTCAAATTTAATAACTATGTACAACTTTGAGATACAAATTTCCTGCCTCATTGTCGGTATGTTCAAAAGGCATTCTCTAAATCATTATCAGCATCATCTTCAAATCATTTGGACAACTGCTGGACAAAAGTCTCTTTCCAACTTTTGTATTCCGAGCAACCAGTAATCAGTAGTATCCAGTTCTCAACGAATTGGGGGTCTATTTCTGGATCCGTCCACCTTTTATAACTCATTCTTGGGCATAGAATGTCTTTCCTTCCAAGGGATTCTGCCTTATTGTATTTTGTGTGGGGATTTGTCAGTTACCTCCATCGGGTGCGTCTCTACGGAAATTAGGGGAAGCTCGTTGGATCTGTAATCCAACAGATTCAGAGGGTAGTGGGAAAATAAAATACCCACCGTGAAACAAAAACTGACCCGGTCCTCCAGGATGGGGGTTGAGGCATTAGACTGGTTCTCTAATACTCGGAAAAATACAAAACTACCAAAAAACCTAGGCGAAGCCTTGGAACATTGGACGGATCACCAAGACGACGAACACGGCTAGGAAAATGGACCATGAATCTCGCTACGTGGAATGTGCAGGGTATTAGACTGAAAACGGATATTATTGCATCAGAAATTGAACATCGATTTAGTAGCACTAACCGAAATCAAGAAAAAAGGAAGTGGCACCGAAAATGTTGGAGAATATATTCATATTTTTACTGGAGTGTCAAAGGACATGAGACCAGCTAGAGGGGTATCCATACTGATAAGGAAAAACTAGAAAAACAAAATTAACAACTGGGAAGCTGTAGATGAAAATATCCTAACGGTCAACTTACTACTACATGGCTATAACATCACCATTATAGCAGCCTACGCTTCATCAGAGGACGAAAGAGTCGGCATTGAGCCGGAGTTCTTTGACAAATTGGATAAAATTCTAGTAGATATTGGAAGAGATAGAAAGATCATAATGGAAGGACGAACAATAGCCCAGTTGTAGGACCATTTGGAAAAGAGCTAATCATGATAGTGGCCAAAGGCTCATACATCTCTGTGAGACCCACAATCTTAGAATAAACAATAAATTTTTCAAACACAAAGATATTTACCGCTACACATGGATACAGAATACCCGCAACCCGAAAACTATTATTGACAATGTGATAAGCAAACAAAAAACAAACATAGAGATAAACGACGTGAGAGTCCTGAGAGGAATAACTTGCGGGTCAAATCATTTTTAAGTAAGAGCCGAAATGAAGTTGCAATTTAGGAAAACGAACAAGAACCCCAGAGGAACAAAACACCAATGCCATACTAACGGACACAGTTGATACAACAAAGTACAATTTTGACAGTTTTAGAGATGACAGCACTGTATTTCTATATCAAAGGCGACTCGACAGCAAATTATTGAACCCTGAAGAATGTACCTTCAATAAACTCTATGAGAACAATATAAGGAGTCTAATAGAAGCCACCCAAGAAGCTATAGTATCGGAGGAAAAAAATATCAACAAGAAATATTGGTGGAACGAGGAGATAGAGATATTAGTCCAAGAGAAGAAGCAAAAATTTCTGGAATGGCTAACAACAAAAAATGAACAAGACCTTGAAGTTTATAAAGACACAAAAAGACAACTAAGAACGTGCATCACTATAGCTAAGAACGAGTCATGGAATATAAAATGTGAAGAAATTAACACCTACATAGGAGCATTGTATAAAAAGGCTCTTTTTATACAATGATAGGAGGAAGGATATGCTCGGAGGTATGGAGATTTATATCAAATGTCAAAAACTCAGGAAAGGACAGAGCTAATATCCAGATTATTAAACCAGAGCAATGATGGATAGAACACTACAAGGAGTACAAGGGTCTATTACAAGAAAGTAGACCGGAATATATATTAGATTCTCCAAGACATATTGAAGTACATGGAGAAGTAGTTGAGATATCTGAAGAAACAGTAAAAAAGACTGCTAAGAATCTTAAGTCAGTGAATGGACATCCGGTTCCACAAGACTGGAAAACAGCTTTTATATCATCCATTCGCAAAAAAGGGAAATAAGCTGGGCACATCATTCACAAGCACACTAAGCAAACTATACCGTAGAATCCTGCGTTATCTCATTGAAGAAGATTTTAAAGAGCAAGAAGAAGAAGAGCAGTGCGGCTTAAGAGCAGGAAGATCAGGTACGGACAACGTATTTTGCCTAAAACAAGTCATAGAAAAGAGATCTGCTAGACATTTGAAAACCCACCTTACATTTGTGGACCTACAAAAAGCATACGATACAGTCCCAGTATCCAGACTGGAAGGTATTAGAACAATCAAACATCAATCACACCTATATAACGGCACTTAAAGAACTATATAAAGCCTCAAAATCAAGAATTAAGGTAGGTAAAAAACTCACAGACACATTTATAGTGAATAAAGGACTACGTCCAAGATGTTGTATCTCTCTTACGCTTTTTGAAATAAACGTAGCAGTAGCACTGAAAAATTGGAAGAGGAAGATCCATGGAATGGGTATAGAGATAAATGATAGGTGTCTGTTTACTCTTCAGTTTGCAGATGATCAGGTCATAGTGGTTACAGGTTACAATTCTTTCTGTTAGTATTAGCGTATCCGCTGCTGATGTTTGTATACGAACTGGTTGAATATTTTTCCCTTAAAATAGCCGATTTGAATACTCATCTCAGTTT